TCTGGGCCTCTGTAGCTTTGTTTGAATCCTGCCTTGTCACCTTCTGGAGCTCACTTTCGACGATCGCCAACCGACCAAAAACGTCGGCCAGATCGTTGCGAATGGTTTCATTCCAGGTGGCCTGGTCATGCGACGAGCCCTCAATAGACCTGCTGAGACAGTTAGCGGTTTACATTCTCACTCGAGACCGACCACAACTGTCCGCATCCGGTTATCTAGTCTAGATGTTGTTAGCAGGCCAATCATGATTATGTGCTTGATAGGATTGTACTTACTCCGTCAGGCATTCCAGAGCAACCGAATTGCCATCTCCGGAAAGCTGAGTCTGCCCGCGTGGTTCCAAGTCCCGTTGGTGTCCAAACACAGTCTTCCGCTGTCGTACAGCTTCTTGCTCACTCTCATCGGCCGAGGAGCTATTGTCCTGGTCGACAGAGTCATGCTCCTCCTGAAAGGATGAATCGTCCTCTGTGGTATCGCCTGTAGCGGATCTGGATGGACTACCAGTATCCTCAGACTCAGAAGACGACAAGGACAATGCACGATGCAATCGGTTTCGAAAGTTCTGTTGTCGAGGAGTGTGCGAGACTTTCCGAATTCCGCCCATACTTGGGTCTGAGTTACGCTGGGGTGACGAGTGGTCCTAGTTCCGATTTTTTGTGATAGGAGGAGGCGCTCGGGTTTTATAGCATGTTGTATCGCGGGATCAGGATTGACTGTTTGCTTGCTCGCAACTGAGGAGGGGATCGCAAGTGCCCGCATTTTTCATTCCTACTTTCTACCCGTAGATATCTATTTCAAATTCTACACATTTTGAACAATGACTCACTTAGAGGCGGGTCAGAAAATAAATTTCAACAATTGGTGAAACAATGGGGAATTGCCAATAAGAACGGGCTCTTGTGGCCGCGTTCAACGTTGTTGATTCTCAACGAAACGTAGTGCATCAGGTCCTTTTGGTCTTCAGAAGTTTGAAGAGGTGCGAGTAGTGAGCGTCTGATACCGGCTCACCAGGCTAGGCCAAAGCTCATAGCACACAGTAGTCGGCTTTTACCTGCCACACACACCACACCATAACCTTTTAAACTCAACAACCTTACACCTTTCAATTCACTTCCTGCTGTTTTGTTCACCCGTTTTCGGCTACTTTCGCAACTTGCCCGAGCATCACCATGTCCCAACGTAGCGCACGCGGCTGGCCAGAATGGGAGGAGAAAAATCTTCTCCCATGGTTGGATGCCCATCCGGAGCTGTCGTGGAAAGCCTTCTGCGACGCATATTATGAAGAATATCAAGTGCATCGAAGCGTTGAATCTTTACGAGGGAAAAAGTACCATATTCTGCGGAAGCAGAGTCGCACTGGTGCCAAATCTCCCCCAAATCCAGGCAAACCAGAGCGAGCCGTTGCCGTACGACGCTCCTTGGTCGATAGCGCTTCACAGTTGAATCTTTCAGCCAAGACCCCTGCCCAAAGGAACATCGACAAATGGTTCCAAACAATTCTAGCGGCCGACACCTAACCAGCCTGACGACAGCAAAGAACTAGCTCAAACGAACCCTATTTCAGGTACGAAACACTTAATCTTCTCATATTACATGCTGACCCTTTGTCATAGACCGCTTGAAGCCAGCACCGCTTCCGTGCCGGCCTAAAAGAACACGGTCGTCAACTTGGACGTGGGACTACGTGCATCGTGTCTGTGCCACCAGGAAGCTAAGCTACAGGCGAACAGACCGTCCACTTTAGCAGCATTTCATCGGCTGGGGCACTACATTGCGATGCCGCAGGAACAGTGGCCAACTATCTTGATAAACTAGATCTGGTGCATGTTCCTATATCAAAGGCTATGATCAGCAATGAAGCCTCAGCATGAGAAATATAAGCGTGGTCGCATATCATTCCATGTATTCTGTATAGAAATGAGCAATCGCCCTTCTTCAGAATGACAACAATAGTGAGGAAGTCCCAAAGTCAAAAGGTAAGGAGGATTCGAGCACGATAGTGGTGCCCTTGGAACAGGTCCGCCTGCACATTTTCATCCTTGTCATAGTCCAGGCGCATGCCATTGGAGGGACGCCTGGGGATATGATTCGAAAATTCAGGGGCTGATACCAAATGAGCAAATTTGCACTGAACCGTCTAGCGGAATATGTCCATGAAGACTATAAAGCCAATGGTGTTGTCTCCTTCGCACTTCACCCGGGTTGTATCCAGGTCCACAAGGACTGTGCCATAGATTGGGAGTACCATGATATGTGTGAATACACTAAGTATCATTGCATCAGAACGCTAACGCTATATGATAGATCCCATCGACGATATCAGCCTGCCCGGTGGATTTTGCGTTTGGCTCACAAAAGCAACGCGTGACTGGCTCTCCGGGCGATTCATCTCCTCCAATTGGGATGTAAACGAGCAAGAGGACCGAAAAGTAGAAATTGTTGCAAAAGACTTATTTAAGTGCAGATTGACATAAACTAGAAGGCAAAGGATCACCTCTGATAGTCTTTCATGGTCATGAGGGAACGCGGCTTATGGGGATTTAGCTTTATAAATGAGTGAGACAGATCTATACTAGAAATAATGTTGAATCTAGAGAACGTTCTACTGCTACTAAAACCTGTTAGGAAGAGGTTGCTAGAATGGCTCGCCGGTCAGATACTATTGTGCTTTCCCTACGGCCGTTTCTTACACTTGATTTCGGTACTGCAGAAGCCGTTTTGCTTCCAGAGATAAGTCGTGAGATTTCACAAAACGTCTGAATCTACATGTGGACTTTTAGTTATTTCCCGCTAGCTCTCTCGTTCATCATGTCAAACCGAGTCGCTTCTTTTTATATTTAGAGAGTATGACATCACTATTCCCATACAATATTACTCAACATCTCTGTCATTAGATAACACCATTCCGAGCCCAAAGGCGCAAAATAGCTTATTTAAGCGTAAAAGTCATTGGCACAAGACTTTTGAATGATCACCAGATTGAAACTCGGCTAGATCAACGTAAAAAATATGGTCTTAGAACGAGCAGACCTGGGAACCTTTATCTCTCTGCACTGAAATTAATAGATGCATATCCTGTTCTGTCCCCCAGTTTAATAGATAAGCATGATTTGCGGAAAAAGGAGCCGGTGGTGAGAATGCGGAACGATTTATATCAAATAGGAGATATGCTGAGTGGTAGTCTGCAAAAATGGAGTGATGGGAGATCAGCAAGGAACAGTCCGTTGCAGGGCTAGGTGACTAACTTGTGTCAGTCTAATCTGTTCACGAGCCTTTCAATCCTCCACAGGGAACAACAGTAAGCACTGGTAATGAATTTACCGATTTGGAACATATCTGAATCGATACGCCCCTCGACATTTCGCCGCGTGAAAAAGCTCCTAGTAAGACGCGGAGTTGGTATGTCCCTGTTTGGCAGACGGCGAGGTCCTTGAACACAGCGAAGGCATTCTTATTTTGGCGATAGCCAAACTGTAGATCAGAGGTCAATCTACCGCTCAGCCCACCCGTCGGGGTGGAACTGCTGCTGCCGATGAGAGACACATTGAGAGCAAAGGACTTCCTCGGTGCACTTGGTTCTCCGAACACCACCAGCACAGAAACAGTGAAAACCGCATGAGATTCAGGGTTTTCCAAAAGCCATATACGCCGAACCAAATTATATGAGATATTTTATCCGGTAGTTTGCTCCCACGGAAAGCCCACCGGTTATTCTTCCGACATACTGCCCATGCCACGATTCTCAAAATACGGGTTCTGAATCGTAGGGCTCCGAAAGTAACATGAATGTATGATCCTATTCACCTTAGCGCCTCCCTTCTTTCTCGGAAGATGTTGCACAAGGAACTTCAGGACGAGGTAGTTTTCTCTCTGCAACAATTCCCTATGGGGTCTACAAGTGTCCCGAGACAGCTTACTGTCAATACTGCTCGCAAATCGAAAGATCCAACGCAAGTAACTTGATGTAATCCTATATGTTCAAATCGATTCTGTATTCCAAACCAAAAGTCCTGATCGAGCAGGGTGTAACGGACACAGATATGTAGAACTCTAACCACCGCCAAGAACTGGGGAGGATTTGTAGCGCCGCCGGGATGACAAACTTCACTAGTCGGTTAATGATGATGGATGAACATGCTTTTAAAAGCAGTACCTGCAAAACAAGTAGTGTAACGGTGCCATCGCTATGTCGACAACAAATTCATTCGACCGACTGCTCGTCGCATTCGTCTTACGGTTTGTTCAGATGACACAGCAGTAACCAGAGTATGGGCAAAGGAAGCACTGAAAATTGTAAGTCGATTTATGTCTGCTCCCAGCCATCACATGAGGATTGTAATTTGCCGCTGACGCATTCAGACTTTTGAGTGAACCTTGCAATTCTACGAAAGGATAGACAGGTTCCCAGGCTATCTGCGAGGCTATGGGATGCCGTGCCAGGCTGCCAAGCCGCCAAATCGGGACCGGACTATCAGCTTCTGCTTTCTCCAGGCTATGACCTCAGTGGTGCCCTTGTCATAACAATAGATCTTTCCCGGATAGCCGCCTCATGGCGGAGTGCACACGCGATTCTGCTCGTTGGACCAATTTTGACCTTGGTAACCCTAAATTTGTATTTCAAAAAGTTGTATTCTCATCATTTTAATTATGCCCGAAAATTACATTGCAATTAGCTTTAGAAATATATATCTAAGTCACAGGGGGTGAAAATCCACTTTGCTTGACCGAGAGCCAGTTTCAGATGTGTAACGCCGAGTCGGGACGCACGTCCCTCACCTCGATCGCGACATTTAACCAAGAGCGGGCTGTTGTTATTGCTTGCGTCTGGGCCAGTACAAGTGAAGTTGATGGGCAGTTATAGACGCCGCCGTTGCATCAGGCGGCGAAGGTTGGAAAAGAGATCGCAGTAAGGCTGACGCTGTCCAAGAACACGAGTGCGAGCTTTCCAGATAGGCAGAATGAGAGAATGCCGGGAAATAGGCCCTGAAGAGAAGACCTTCTTACACCCCCATCAGAAAGGCCCTTCCCAATCGCTGCGCATCGGCTTTCAACAATCCTTGACGCTGGCATTCCGCCCCAAACAAATCATCAATCTCAGACCGTAAATCGCGCAGCAAAACCTTTGGATCTAACATATGCTCTAGACAGCGAAGTACTAAGCTTCTGACCACGTTGATAAATGTGGTTGGCAAGGCATCGGTGTCGTACTCATATCGAATGCTTAGGCCGCGGTCATCGACCTGCCATTCGAATAGACATGAGAACTTCGAGCCTTGTGCGAAAATCTGAACTGGCTTCACTCCCTTGACAGGGAAGGGGTTTTCAACGTTACCACATGTCCGTTGGTCGTGGAAGGTGACCACGCAGTCGAATAAAGGTTGTTGCTGTCTTTGCGTGAGACTTAGGTGACTTGGAAATGGTAGCCCTATATGATTCAGCAGCGATGGCCAAGGAAGGGCGTTTGCAAGCGCAGACTGAGACGACGATCGAACTTCTTCAAGAGCGTTCCCGGTTGTAGAATCCGCTCCGCGCAGCAGAATCCTAACAGGCAAAGGTTGAAGGAACAAGCCAACCACTTCCATGTCTTTCGGATCAGAGCGATTCATGTATGGAGATCCGAGCAGTACATCATGTCGTCCACACATAGTCTGAAGGACGACACCTACAACTGCCAAGCCGAATTGATGCAGTGTAGTTCCTTTGAGGGAGGAAATAGCGAGAAGCCTTTTGTATAATGGTGGCGGAACCATCTGGAACACCGACTCTCCACGGTATGATCGGCACGATGGATTCTTTGTGGGAGTATCTGGAGTCGGAGCACCTTCGAAAGAAAGACCCTTCAGATAAGAACTCCAAAAAGATAATTTATCATTGCCAACAGGCTGGTTCCAGACCGTGCTGTCGAAGTACTCGCGCCTAATGGGCTCCAATTCGCGACCGTAGTACACAGCGGCTGCCTCACGCAAAATCACATTGAACGAAGTTAAATCACACACAACATGTGTGGCGCAAATGACAAGCTGATTGCGGGAGACCGTGGCGCGGATGGGGCTTCCTTTCTGAAGATCGAATGGCGTGTTGATGTACTCTGCGACGTCAACTTGTTCCACGACAGGCACTGTGATCAAGTTGGTTGAAATTGAACGAAGCACCTTGCCTTCCAGGGTCATAAACCTGGAACGCAAAATTCGATGGCGATTAAAGACTATCTGGAGCGCAGAAGCCAGCTTTTGGATGTCAACTTCATTCGAGAGCTCCGCAACGTAAGGTACATTGAAGCTCGATGTTGTCTGTGAATGTTGGTAGCGATGTATCCATTCGATCTCTGCTGGGGAAGGAGCCTCTGAACCAAGCGGCTGGGCCTGAGTTTCCGGTAATGCCAAAGATGTGCTGCGTAGCTGTGACTCACCCTGAGTCTGAATTAGATGAGCTAGATCTCGGAGTGTGGATGCGGAGATGATATCTTTGACGGTAATTGGGATGTTAAAAAGGCTCTTGATGCGAGCAGCCAGGGCAAGCTGGAGGAGAGAATGACCTCCAAGAACAGCAAAATCATCTGCGTTTGATATATGCCTCGTGGGGTCTAATGCCAACAATTGTCTCCAGATGCCTGCGAGGGTCTCCTCTAGAGAATTCAACGGCTGAATCGACTTGGGAGGGAGGTCGACGTGATTCTTTGCGACTAGTCCCTTAAGGTCAATTTTACCATTTTGTGTTCGAGGCAGCTTCCTCATGGAGTGAATATTTTTTGGGGCTGAATGAGGTGGCAACGCTACGACCAGCTCACGTCTCAATGTCTCTGTATCGATTTCTGGCTCAACCCAGAGCACAACAGCGCCGTTCTCTGTGACTGCGACGGCCTTGGAGACCGAGGGCATTGTCCGATAAACAACTTCTGGGATGTCGTCCAAGTTGATCCGATATCCTCGAAGTTTGACCTGCCGATCGTCTCGACCACAGCAATGCAAGTTTCCCTGCTCATCCCAGAAGCCAATGTCCCCAGAGCGATACATCATTTCTTGGTCTGAGCCCATGGAAAACGGATCAGGTATAATTTCTTCCGATGTCTTTTTTTCCATTCCAAGGTATCCGCGGGAGATCTGGACCCCAGCGATATATATTTCTCCAATCGTCAGTGTGGGTTGTAGCTCTAAGTGGTTGTTGAGAACGTATAGGCGTGCTGATGGCAAAGGGCGCCCGAGGGTCACTGGAATGCCCGGCTTCAGAGGATGATGGCAGACCAGAAGGGAAGCCTGGAAGTGGCTATCAGCTCTGTTACATACTCCAATAGACGGAGGTCATATTGCTTACTTCTGTGGGTCCATAGATATTATAAAGCTCTTTGTTTGAACCCCACCGTTCGACCAAAGCCTCTGGCACAGGTTCCCCGCCGAAATGAATCTTTGTTACCGTCAGCAAAAAGATTTATATCCTGAAATCCCAATATACGAAAGGGCAACATACCGATTTCAAGTTAGGGTAGTCTCGCGGGTCGAGCTCCGCAGCCAGAGAAGGGGTAAGTATTGCTACTTCCGCATCTAAGAGGTGAGAGAATTTATCATCCTTTCCTCGGGGCAGTACCAAAGTACCTCCAAAACAAAGGGTCGAGATAATCTCGTGAATACAGCCATCGAACCCTGGAGAGAGCATTTGACTGATTCGTGTGCCAGGACGGCTTGTGGGCCGAGCGGCCGTGCAGGAATAAAGGGCGACAACGCCCCGATGCCTACACAGCACTCCTATAACTAGTCAGTATGTCCTTGTCATGTTGAATATATCTTGAGACGCACCTTTGGGCTGGCCAGTGGATCCAGAAGTGAAACATAGATAAGCCGTGGAACTAGGGTGTGGTAACCTGGTTTGACAATCCGCTGGCTTGATGTTGTCTCTCAGCAGATGGTCAATCGCTAGAGTGAGAGGACCATGTGGTCCAGTTCTTTCCATGTGCGAAGTATCCGGAAGTAATAAAATCCTAGCACCGCTGCGTTCAAGTAGCTGAGCACGGTATTCCTCAGGGTACGATGAGTCCACCGGGCAATAAATCGTATCGGCTTGCATTGCAGCGAGCATTCCCACGATCCAGTTGCTAGATCTGTCTGCCAGAACTGCAACGACTGCCCCAGCGGGGCACAGGAAAGCAATGATGTTCGCGATTTTATCCACACGTTCAGCCAGTTGAGTATATGTCAACGTGTCCCCGGCTGCTTGAATGGAGAATTCAGGAGCATGTTGCCAGGCTGAGTATTGGAACAGACTGCTGATAGTTTGCCCCGCATTGCGTGTGAAGCTGGAGGTTGAACTACCGTTCCCTGCTGCCAATATCTTCTCGCGCATATGTGGGGGAAACTTTGAGTCGAGACACTGCTGCACAGAGGACTGGCCGTGAACGAGGGAGTGCAAGATGCTACCGTAGATATCTGCCATGTCTTGCACTTGACTTGGTAAAAACCTTTCGGTCCGATAGAAGAGGCTGATGCCTCCATCCGGATTGATAACAAGGTTTAGGGGAATGTTTGCAGTGTTTTGGAATGACGGCTCTTGGAGGCACTTCATGGCTGTTATTCCCTTTCTCAACCCACCATCTTGAACGGCAACGGTGGTGGAAAATGCTGGTATGTTAGATGGAATTTCTGACACGTGAATGGTGGCAAGGCCTTGAATTTCACGATGAATCTGCTGCAAGAATCTCTCGGCAGACAAGGACCTGTCAACCTGAACAAGAACAGGCAAAGTTTGTATCAAAGGCCCTATCATGGTATCCACCCATGCGAAGGGAAGACTGCGGCCTGAGAAGACACTTCCGTACACGATTGTGTCCGAATTGGTGTAGGTTGTGAGAAGCAGTATCCATGCGGCGTTAAAGATGGCCGCTGGGGTTACATTCACAGTGCAGGCGTATTCTATGACTTTGTCCCGATCTACATTGTCGGGCACGGAAACCTGAGCATGACCAGGTTGCCGGGAGGTGAGGCTGGTGTTGGGAGATGCTATATCGCCACATGCATCAGAAAAGAGTGCCTCACGATCACTCCAAAATTTCTGGATCTCTGTATATGTTGCACGCCGTAGGTGCTCCATATCCTGCGCCGCCACTGTGAATGGGAGAGAGCCTTCGAGGGGTCTACCTTCAAGGGCAGCATCCACTTTCTGGAACAGCAGGGATGCCGAAAAGCCGTCCACCAAGGCGTGATGCACAGTCCACACCACTGTGCTTTGACCTCTGCTGAGCTCACTGCCTTCGTAGTGCAGAACTGCAAAATTACTACCCAGGTCGGCACGGCTGATTAATCCCTGCAAGGCCACCTGAATATCACGATGAGATTTCACCGATGTCTCTTCCCAGATGAATGTAGCTTGTGGCTGCACCTTCTGGATAGGCTCCTTTGTCGCCCAGCTGAAAGACGTGCGAAAAATTGGCTCAACGGAGACGACAGCCTCCCATGCCTTTTTGATCCGGTGGATATCAGCCGTAGCATAATGTGAAAGCTGTTGCACATAGTTCATCTCATGATTGTCCATGGTAGCTAACAGAAGGGCCTTCTGAAGTGGTGTAATTTTTGAATCTCGCTGACACTGAACATTGGGACCATGCACGGGAACAAGTAATCTCTGCTCGTTACACCGATCGATCAATGCTTGGATGGATGGCTCTAAGAGAACGTGCTGCACAGGAACTGTAAACCCGTATTGACGACACAGCGAAGATATCTTGATAGCAGCCAAGGAGTTGATTCCGTAGCTAATCGCAGATTGCTTGACGTCGATCCGGTCAATCGAAAGGCTAGCTACTTGAGATAAAGCTGTCATGACAGCTTCGTTGAGTGTTGAGGTAGCAGATATGGGATCCTCTATCGTTGAGCCAACAGATTCCTGGATGATTGTTTTCAAAGTCTTTACATCAGTCTTGCCATTCATCGTCGGAAGGGATTCCAGGACCAGGAGGTGGTCCGGGACCATGTAAGCTGGAGCATTCGTCTTCCACTTGGCAAGCAGACTAGTTGTGTTGACAGCATTTGGACCAACCACTGAGACTAGACGACCATGAAAGAGAAGTGAGAACGAGAAGTTGAGGCGATCATCAAGCTGCAGAATCTTGGCATCAACATCCTGTCCGAGATTGACGAGAAATCCTCGAATCTTGGTGATTCTGTCCCTTCGACCAAGGAATTCCAACTCTCGAGAGCCCGAATCTGTAAGGGCCCATTTGGCCATATCACCAGTGCGATATACTTTCTCCCCCTGGTACATAATGAACTTTTCCTTGGTCAACTTGTCGTCGCCCCAATACCCACTCGCAAGGCACCGACCCGCAGCAAACATCTCGCCTTCCACGCCGACTTCATTGATCAGCTGCATATTCTGGTCAACTAGCATGACAGAGGACGATGGAATGCATTGGCCTAGTCGAGTGGTATAATGCATTCCGGTCTTGCTATGTGTCTGAAGGGCGCCTGTCAAGATGGTACATGTAGCCTCTGTTGGCCCATAGGCAATCCAGATATCTGAACTCGTTTTCCGCCAGTCTGTGATGAGTTTCTGCGGCGGAGTCTCGCCTCCTAGCACAATCCTTAGAAGTCTGGGGTAATGGCAATTACCACTTGGCGGAGTCAACGCATCGAGGATGGAGGGCGTGACGGCAAAAATGTTGGCTGTTTCTGCACGATCTTGCAGATTGTGTGGATTTCCAAGAATCACTGTTCCGCTATTACAGAGGGTACTGAAGAGTGCACCCATAAAGGCTATTCATCTAATCAGTAACGATACTCCAACATCTAAATGAAGTAGCCACTTACCGTCAAACGCGATAGAGAGTACAAGAAGCACGCGATTACCAGGCAACACTCCGAAATTAAAATGTGGAGAAGAAACGAGGTTCATTACCGAATAATGTGTCAAAACCACTCCTTTTGGTTTGTCGGTTGTCCCAGAGGTGAATATAACGCACATTGTGTCTGTCTGGCAATCGTCGCACCGAGAGACAGCGGCGTTCTCACTTGCGTCCCAGTCTTTTACACTTTCAACGGAAACACACTTGACCTGCCGACTCCTGACCTCAGGCTGATCTCCAGTGTATACAATCACATTTGCTTCCACTCTGTTGAGAACATAATCGATTTTCTCTTGGGGCCATTGAGCGCGGTCGATGGGCACATAAGATGCACCAGCCTTGAGGATCCCAAGCAAGCCAACCACCATATCAACGCAAGAACTTGCTAACAACGGAATTGGTTTTCGTCTCTCGATGCCAACATTGCAGAGACGACTGGCTAGTCTTGAAGAATCGAGATCCAACTGATGATATGACAAGCTAAAGTCCTTCCCATCTTCTACCGCAATTTGGGAAGGGCTCCTTTGAACGGAATTGCGGAACAAATCTAGAATGGAATATGAGGCCATTTTTTGGAGAAAGTATGTGGGACAAGAAAAGTGACAAGGGCCGTTTTGAAAAGCCCTTTGGTAAAGTGTTATGTTTATTACCATATCCTTTTTACCTGATTATATACATGCCGTTTAAGCTCCTATGAAGCCCCAAAATCCTAGGCCCCCCGAGAACCCGGTTTGAGATCGGTAGAATGCAGCGACGATCACGTTATTACAGGAGTGGAGAATGCCATTCCTTGCATCTGCATGTTTCAATAATTAATCCAAGGCATGCAGAGAAAACGCAAGTGCAAAAACTAATTAGGTTACAGAAAGGGGGCGGCAGCAGCTGTGGCTGAAGGTGTGATATTGGTACGCTGTTGACTGGTATGATTCTGCTAGATCCCCCAGATGTCCAGATCGGCGGTTTGAATTTCAAAACTACAGAAGGCTTGTCAGCTGTTTCATTCGATATCCTTGGGTAATCACATATCCTGTCATAATTTTTTTTGATTGACGAGCCACCCTGAGCAACTCAATTACTCACGAAATGTCGCACGGCTTCTCTCTTCCAGCCGCTATTCCCCTGGACGCCAAACCGTCATTTGATGACACGATATCAGCTATTGAGGATGTTGAGCCAACTGAACCCACCCATGTTCTTTCACACCTCAGCCCTGAAGATGCCAGCGCCATAAGAGAGTGGAACAAACTTATTCCCAGCAAGGTTGACCAATGTGTGCATGAACTCATTCAGTCTCGCACCCTGTCGCAACCAGAAGCCGTGGCGGTTCATGCCAGTGATGGACAGCTCACGTATCGTGAGCTGGACGTCATGTCATCCGCGCTGGCAACTCGGCTTGTCAATTATGACATGGGCTCAAATCGGATCGTACCCCTCATATTCGAGAAGTCTATGTGGACCACCATAGCTTTATTGGGTGTCATGAAGGCAGGTGGCGCATTTCTCCTTGTTGATATTGCCCACCCAGTTCCACGGCTGAAGGAGATATTTGACATAACTGCTGCAAAGCTGGTCATTGCTTCTGAGATGCAGGCTGGGCTTGTTCGGCAGCTCGATCTGAAGGTGGTTTATGTAGGTGTCAATGAGAATGCACCCAACAAGACCGAGTCGTGCCCTCCATTGGCGCCAGTCCCTTCTCGCCGTCCTGCCTACTGTGTGTTCACGTCCGGTTCAACGGGACAGCCGAAAGGCTTCTGCGTTCAGCATGATGCATTTGCGACAATGGCTGCAGTTGTCCCGGAGGCCTTCAACCTATCGTCGACAAGTCGCGTGTTTCAATTCGCCTCTCATGCTTTCGATGCAAGCGTTTTTGAGTATCTTGCGTGTCTCGTGATGGGTGGCTGTCTATGTATTCCCTCAGAGTCTGCGCGCACCAGTTCTCTTGCCGAAGCCATCAATGTATTCCAAGCCAACTGGATCATCCTAACACCATCCGTGAGCCGCGTTATATCACCTGCCCAAGTACCCACGCTGCGCACACTCGTCATGACAGGGGAACCTATGAGGGAAGATGATGTAGAGAGATGGTCCGGCAACCTCAAACTAGTTAACGGCTATGGTCCTTCCGAGTGCGCTGTTTGTTGTGCTGTGTGCCCATCCGTCACTTCTGCCACTGAGCCTGGTCAGATTGGCCGTCCACTCGGAGCTGTCCTATGGCTTGTCGATCCCGAAGACCACGAGCGGCTGGTGGAAATCGGTGCAGTGGGAGAGATTTTGGTTGAAGGACACACTGTGGGAAAGGGCTATCTTTCCAACTCGGAACAGACGGCGAAGAGTCTTGTGGACGCACCTCGCTGGCTGATAAATTTCCGCCAGGTCCCATGCAGCCCGGTGTATAAGACCGGTGACTTAGCCGTGTACCTGCCTGACGGAACGTTGCAACTTCGTGGGAGAAAAGACACTCAGGTGAAAATTCGAGGCCAAAGAGTCGAGCTGGTTGAGGTAGAGCAGCGACTGAAGAACTTCTATGCTCCGGACATTGAGGTTGTTGCTGAGATAGCCAAGACAGCTGAAGAACCAATGCTCGTCGCTTTTGTGTGCAATTTCCTGCCTTCAGAACCTTGCAAGAGTATTCTGAGCGCACCTAGTGTTTCTTTCCAAGCCGCGGCCCAGGAGGCTGCGAATACATTACGCCAAACCGCCCCTGATTACATGATTCCCTCCACGTTCTTCCCTGTCAATTTTCTTCCGACCACCATTACAGGCAAGACTGATCGTCGGCAGCTGCGGCTCGCGGTGGAAAGGCTGTCTCGCCCTGAGCTCGCTGAATATAATGCCCCGTGCTCGGCCCATGACGATCCACAGCTCGTTTCAGACCCGACACAAATAACTTTGTGGAAGCTATGGTGCCAGGTGCTCCACTTGGATGGTGATGGTAATTGCATCGGGGCGAAGCATAACTTTTTCCATCTCGGTGGCACGTCAATCAATGCGATGAAACTTGCGTCTTTGTGTCAGAAAAATGGGTTCAAAATTCGAGTTTCAGCCATTTTGGCCAACCCTGAGCTCGATAAAATGTCCTCCATGATTGATAACCATCAAGACAAAGGCGAATGGCTTGTGAGCCCGATAAACGTTGTACCGGGCGTCAAGGAAGCACTAGTCGAAGCTAAACTTATATCCTCAGCGGATACGGTTGACATTTTCCCTAGCACTGAATTCCAGAGATGGAATTTACAACAGCCCTGCGATCACCTCTCTATCCAACTACCGGCAGAAGTGGATATCCCACGCCTTGAGGCTGCCTGGCAGAAAGTTTTGAAAAGACATGCAGCCCTACGAACGGAGTTTCTGTCCTGGAAGGATCACACATTCCAAGTTGTTCAGCATGATGTTGAGCTCTCATTGGAACAAATTGACGTTGATGAAGACCTATTTTGCGCCATTGAAAGTCTCATTCGTGAGCCTTCACGACAGTTCCCAGGTCCCGGGGCATCGCCATTCCATCTCACTTTGATATCGAGTCGTGAACATCGGGCCCTCTTGGTCCGTATAAGCCACGCTCAATATGACGGGGTTTCATTGCGGATTCTTTATCACGATCTGATGGCTGCGTATTCCGGGAAACATCTGGCGCAAGGGACAGACTTCCCCGACTACATGCGAGTTCGCTGTGCTCAAAACACGTCGAAAGCGTTCGACTACTGGCGAAAAGTATTGGACGGGGCCACTATGGCAACATTGTGGCGGCCCCGCCCAGGTCCACCAGGCTGCCTATCCCTCCACATGAAAGACGTACAACTCCCCTTGCCTCCCACAGGAATTACGCGTGCCACTTTACTTATGTCTGCCTGGGCCTGGGTTCTGGCTGTTATCACCAGTCGATCGGATGTCGTCTTTGGGTATGTATCCAGTGGCCGAGACGTTCCATTGGATGGTGCGAATGACTTTGTTGGTTCGGCTGTCACTACGGTACCCTTGCGCCTCGTCATTCAAAAATCGTGGTCCATTGCCGATTTCCTCTGGGCGGTTCAGATGCAACGGATATCGAACGCTCAATATGAAGTCGTGGACTTCGAGGACATTGTTTCTAAAAGCACATCATGCTCCGCGGGCGCGCAGCTTGGTAGCGTGTTTTCCTATGAAGATTTTGGTGCAAGTTCCGAAATCTTGCTTGAAGGCATCCACTGTCCCACCCAATTCCATTTCCAGAAAGCCCCCACAGTACCTTACGCCTTGATTGCCCCCCAGGAGGACGCCGTTGGGGTCAGGGTCGCCGGTCGCACAGACTTCCTTTCCCAACATGAAGCGGTGAGGCTATGCGAAATGCTCTGCACGATCGCGATCAAGTTTGCGGAAACTCCTGACCGGGCCCTGCCGTGGGAGAGTTTGGTAGAGGCTCCACATGGCTTGGAGTTTCCAGCAAGGGGTCAGACATCGTGAATGCGATCGATCTACATTGTGGAATTTGACGATAAATATTTATATTTCCTTTTTTTACTTCAAATCTTACATGTTTCTAGGTCTTAACTGCAAGGGACATAGATTCAAAGTCATGTGGAATGATTCTCAAATGTTATTGCACGAAACCGGACTAGTTATAGAATCGCTAGCTACCTGGCTAGTCGGAATGAGATGAGTCGCGAGATAGTAGCTTAGCCTACCTATGGATAATGGTTTCTCTTGTTGACCTTCTTTTTTGGATCTCCTATTGGCGTTTTATTCTTCGTTGAGTTTGCATTAAATTGTCACAGTCCACATACTATTTCAAATTTATCAATACATACACATACTTGCAGAACCTTACATCAGCCACATGACCAGAGATCCATCATATATTCCATAGAAGCCGCAGCATACCGCATCATGCCTTGCGCCCCCCACTTCTCTTTCATTGAGGAATCGATGGTGTTCTGTGTCGATGATGGGTCCAGACTAGCAATCAAGTCAATATCTGTATCTCTTTTTTTTTTTTTCCCCCCTGTTTTCGATCTGCTTTCGTATCTATTCGTCGCAAGCGTATGATCTTCGACTGTAATACCAGAGGGCCATCTTCTAGATCCACCCTAACACGAGTGCTGCATTTCAGAGACGTGACTTATCTCGCCTGTAGCCAGACCGACACTTGCATGGCGAAGATAAACGGAGGATTTATTTTATATGTCTATTTTCGCCTCTGCTGTCATTCATGTGCCCTCAAATCGTTGGATTAAGATACCCTACAATTGAAGTGTCGTGTCGCCAATTTTCTCAACCATGTTCGACGTCAAATTACCGCTCGAAAAGGAGACTGCGTCGCCTTATTTGGATCAATCATTGCGTTCGTGGATAAAGCTACAAAAGTGCAGCGAGGAAGCTTCTGTTCTTTTGGATGGCGAGAGTTTAGATATCCCGAGTGTTGTCGCTGTTGCCAGGTACGCCCAGACTCGAACTCTTGTTAAACCAGACTAATCCGTTCATGCTCAGATATCATGGGAGAGCCGCCGTCAACTTGGATGGCAATATTGTCGAACGAGTCAATTCTAGTGTCAAATGGCTTCGGGACTACCTCGCAAAAGGTTATGATGTCTACGGTTGGTCACACATTAAAATTATGTTAAGAATACAGCTCATTCTATCTAGGCGTTACCACCGGGTTTGGCGGCAGTGCTGATTCGCGCACTCTGGATTTCCATGGCCTTCAGGCTGCTCTGCTACAACTAACGCAAACGGGGATCCTGACTGAATCCGACTTCTCACCCGAAAAGGCCAGCTACGATACTGGATTCCACAGCATGCCAGTCACCTGGGTGCGAGCCACAGTCATTGTTCGTTGCAATCACTTGCTCCGAGGACACTCTGGCGTGAGATATGAGATTATCGACAATCTTCTCAAGCTGTTGGATCTTGGAATGACTCCAGTCGTCCCATTGCGAGGTTCCATCTCCGCATCTGGAGATCTGATGCCGTTGGCCTACATTGCTGGTATCCTCGAAGGCAATCCGGATATCAAAGTGCACTGGGATAAGGACAGGCAAGGGGCTCCCATTGTCATCTCTGCACCGCAAGCTTTGAATATCGCTAAGCTGAATCCGATTATCTTGGGCCCTAAGGAAGGGTTAGGCCTGCTTAACGGAGCGGCAGCGTCCGCAGCAGTGGCAAGTCTGGCCGTGTATGACACCAATCACCTCGCTACCCTCTCTCAAGTCATTGTTGGAATGTCCTGTGAAGCGTTACTAGGCAATGCCGAAAACTACCACCACTTCATCGCTGCCATACGGCCTCACAGCGGTCAGCTAGAGGTCGCTCGAAATATTCGAAACTTTGTGCGTGGTTCCTCCCTTCTGGAAACGTCTGAAACCAAAGATCGCACCCGGGCTGGTCTATTCCAGGACCGCTACGCGATTCGTGGTGCATCACAATGGTTAGGTCCTGGGCTCGAGGATCTTCTTCTCAGTATTAAACAGCTCAGTGTCGAGTTGAACTCTACACAAGATAACCCTGTGATTGATACAGAGTCAGGAGAAGTGTACTCGGGATGCAACTTCCAAGCTGCCTCTGTCACAACAGCAACGGAAAAGACACGCCTAGCGTTACAAATGATGGGTAAAATGTTGTTCAGCGTTTCTTCCGAGCTCATCAACCCCGATCTGAACCGAGGCCTACCACCCAATCTCACGGCTGATGACCCAAATCTCTCCTTCACGATGAAAGGTGTTGACATCAACATGGCAGCCTACATGTCGGAGCTTGCATTTTTGGCAAATCCAGTTTCATCGCATGTTCAATCAGCAGAGATGAATAATCAACCAATCAACTCGCTTGCCTTGATTTCCTCGAGATATACCATGCAGGCGGTCGAGACTTTATCCCTGATGTGCGCCGCCCACCTTTACGTTGTCTGCCAAGCCCTTGACCTTCGAGTGCTCAGTGTCCAATTCCAGGATGCGCTGGATAAGGAACTGGAAAAGATTACCCGCGATGTCTGTGATCAGCTTGCCAGTAAGCACCTAGACTCCTTGCTGGCATCTTTGTCGAAGGCAGCTCGCAGCTCCTGGTCTACCTCCGCACGGGAAAATCTCCAGCTCCGTGCACAGCTCCTTGGAAATGAAGTAGCAAATCCCCTAATGGACCTTTTGCAGAAACATGGCTCCAGTTCTTCTCAGTTTCCGGATCGTCTTTCTGCAATTGCAGAAGTCAAGGCTCGTGTTACTGCCGTTTGTGAGACCTTATATGCAACGATGCGAACAGCAGCCTGCTCGGAGCCACAAACCGAGAAGTATCTTGGAGACGCGTCTAAGCTACTCTATCAATTTATTCGACGCGAGTTGCAGGTGCCCTTCCATACGGGGCGGACTGAGCACCCAACTGTGGAAGAGGGACTCAAACTGAACCGGGAACGCAAGACAGTCGGGTCCTGGATCTCTATTATCTACCAAGCCATTCGCGGGGGCCAGATTACGACTACACTGATGCAGTTGGCGGATTGCTTTCACCATTGCCGGGAGACAAAAGTGGTGAAGTAAAGAGCAAAACGCACATCAAACCCTACCCTAAAGAGCAATGCTTTAGCCAGCTTCGTTACGCTAATGGGTTAAGTGCTCCGTCTCATAAACTGTCGAAGTAGATAGCGTGATTCTAAAAATAAATATTTCTTAAAATGCGGGAAAACTCGATTTTGCCTCTGGCGTGAGACACATCGTAGCATATATACTGTGATAGCCTACCCAGGTGGCTTCAATAGCCCAGCATTTACAGTGAAAGTTACAGAAGGTAGTAGCACTCCCCATTCCTGGGCTTTCACTACTATCTGGCGTAGGCGGCCAATAAGCGCAGTCAGTTCGTAGGTAACCTCCTTTGGTGGAAGGTGTTTATTCCGGATCCCACGAATAACAGCTACAGCACCTTCCTCATATGCTCATCTGCATTCTTCAAGGTCTCCACAACTTCGGGACGTGTCAATTTTCAGTGAGGTAAGGGATTTCGTCTTAGAGAATATCCCTACATTCTCTTCGCGCAACTCGCCTCGTGATCTTTCCGGTGGCCAGGTCTGATAGACGGGTATACCTTTCATTGGCATCTGATAGCCAAATATGTCATGGGTCCCTTGAATAATTAGGATCCAATTCAAAGAATCATTAAACTGCAGGAGTTAGGGATAAACCAGCCCACTTCTCCTTACAGACGACATGTTCAGCTGTCTGCAAGAGAATTGCTAGTTCAATACATACAAATGAGACCTGTGAGCTGTTAGTAGTAGAATCATTGCAGCTACTAAATATGCAGGAGGGGTGGGTGTGGTGTTGCGGTATGTGCACCAAGAACTTTCTGATTTCCTGCTCGCGAGCAATCAAGTTTTCCATACACATCCATCAACCCCGAAGACACTGTGACTTTTATGGCAGAAATGTCGTTGGCTCAGGTTATCCTTATATCCGTGCTATTGGTCTTGATTTGCCGCAACGGGTTAATTGCCAGATCACTTAACACCATCATATCGGCACCTATCAACGTAAGTCACACGTTGCTATTTTCCAGAATGATGATTGACAGAGGACTTTGTAGACCTACTTGTGCTGGAAACACCCAGTCAAGTCCCTGAACAAATCCACCAGCATACCGAGCTGCCCATTCCAACTTCCAAATGGACAAGGAAACGTCAAGTTTGCGGATGGCCGAGCCTACTCTCGCACGTGGGCGAACAGTTTCGGCCAGATATACCGTATCTGGGCTGGTACCACCCCTGAAGTGTAAGTTTGACACAATTCCCCTCAAGTCGCAGCAAATAGAGATAGCTGACAGCTTTGAGGGTCCTTACCCGTCAAGAGCACATGCCCGTAGTATTCAAAGACTCCCATCTCCATACCAAGTCCTTCAATTTTGACGCTGGTTGGCTGTTTGGTGAGCTTGTAGGCAAAGCTGTGGGCCTTCTCAGCGGTCAAGATTGGAACCGGGTGCGAGACGTCTTTGCGCCGAGCTTTCATCGAGCCAAAGTCGACGAATTCTTGCCTGTCATGCAACGACGTGTCAAGCAATGCCTTGATGAGCTACATGCATCACCGAAGATCCATGCGGATGGGGTTTTAGTCATCAGTCCAGCGGATGATCTACGATTGTTGTCTTTCTGGGTTCTCTGTGACATCCTATACGGCGGTATGACGCCGGACATGGAGGCCAACATGCTGGAGATTGTCAGTGAGAGGGAGCGGGTCTGGGCAAATGTTACTGCCGGAGGGCTCTCCCGTCTTTCCATCGGACAATACTTGCCAACCGCTTCAAAAAGGGCACTCAAGCTCTTCCGCTCGCACTGGTACCAGTTCAACCGACAGGCTTGTGATCGTGCCCGCCAGTCATTCGCTGGAACACCCCCAGTCTGCGTTTATTACGATGCGGTGGAACGCCAGGAGCTCACCGAGAGAGAAATGCTCGATACCATGGATGAAATTCTGTTCGCCAACCTTGATGTGACTATTGGCAGTCTCTCTTGGGTGCTGATCTTTATGGCTACTCATTCCAAGATTCAGGATCAGCTACGAGAAGAGATCCGCAGCAAACTTTCTGAGGAGCCTACCGCTGTTTGGAATCAGTACATCTCGGGGTCATCTACTCTCTTGATGGCGTGTCTTCTCGAATCAGCTCGTCTACGACCAATTGCGTCATTCTCTGGCGCGCAAAGCCCACCGACAGACCGCGAAGTTGACTCGTACGTTATACCTGGAGGAATGAATGTCACAGTGGATATCCACGGCTTGAACATTGACGATCCCTCTTGGGGGGGGACCGGTATCAATTCAACCCACGTCGATTCCTAGATGCGAAAAACCAATCCGCATTCCGGTACCGGCTTTGGCGATTTGGGTTTGGCCCGAGACAGTGCCTCGGCAAATATCTCGCTGACCTGTTTTTGAAGACTCTTTTGGCCCATATTGTTGAGAACTACCGCATCGAGATGAAGGATACCTCGCCAGTATCTTTGGATGATCTGAAGGGGAACTCGTCAGGGTGGATCAATCTCGCTGCGGAAGATGTTGTCTGGGTGCCAATTCATCATTAAGTCTGGTGGCTTTGAACAAATGGATAGTAACATAACTGTTTTTTGAAAAAGGCCACTATAAACCTAAGCACTTCAAGGTTCAACTCTATTACTTAGAGCAACTTATTTAACCTACTGAAAACTCCTGAAACTTGATAACCTGAAACTTGGTAACCTGAAACTTGATGACTACAGAGGGGGAATGATATCTGAGGGTCATGTATTCTCTATCTAGGAAGGGAGCTATATGATAGCCCCAAAAGCGGTGTGACAAAGAGGTCTGTACAGCGATTTTCGAAAACAGTTTACCCCTTGGACACTTAGACTTCGTTTCTGGCCCGTACCCGAGACAGCGCTATGCCATATACGGCTAATCCGTAAATTGAAATGCTCTATTACTGGATGATATCTTACCCGGTGTCCCAAAAATGGTTAAGTGTGTTTGGGATACGGGCCGACAAAAAAGTGAGTGTGTCCGAGGGGTAAACTGTTTTCGAAAATCGCTGTACTAGCTAACTCTTCTGTTTTTCTTCATCAGGATAGGCGGGCACCGATGGTCTGACGAATATAAAATACTGTTCCGAAAATTTCTGAGCAAATAGGCGCATATCGTGCTAAGGAAATACAATATGCATGAGCTGATGTGGATTACTTTCCTACTTTGTCAAGTAGTCGTCTTTCACCGCCCGCCAAGAGACTGCTTTAAGCCTTTGAAGTCGTTTGCCCGGTGCATTCCTTCGGCAGGAATGTTGACAGGGACATATTCCTTATGAAGCAAGATAGCTTCAACCGCAATAGGAAGCTCCTCGTACGCAGACGATTGGCAATCGTGCCCAAGGATCCATGTTGGCCGTGGTGTTTTCATCAGGTCCGGGTTCTCTTTAATTGCGTCCCAATCTGGTTGGTGCCATGAATCGTGGTTCTCCTTCCCGCCGGTCTGAATCAGGGTCGCTCGGTGATGCCTGTCCGAAAACATTAGTAACAGAGCACGACACTAATAACAAACTGATGTATTAACCTGATCTTTTCCGCCGCCTGTAATCCAAGCGGCACGTTTTCCTTCCCTGAAAGCTCCAGAGCAATTGCCAACACAGCCGCATCTTCAATGGCTTGACTAGCGCCTTGGCCAGCCATAGGGAGATACGGATGGGCAGCGTCTCCTACCAAGAGAACTCGCCTTTCAGGCGATAGCCATGTCTCGAGGGGAGGCCTCGTGAGCAGGGGGAAATTGATCGCCTTTCCGGCCGGTGTCCGCTTGATTATCGGAGCAATCCGGCCCCAACAGGGCCAATCCTTGATCCGATCAAGCACATCCTGAACATTAGCCGGGGCTGTCCAGGACTCGCGAGCATTGCCGTTGGGGTCCGCATGGGTAAAGATCCACATCACAGCCTGACCTAGCTTCACAGTGCACATGGTGAGCTCGCACCCCCTGCCCACAAATGCTAACGCCTGGTCAGTTTTTCCTGCGCCGGCAAGCAACCAGTTTGCCTCGGGGTCTGAAGTAATTTCATCGGCGTCGAAATAAGCCCGGAAGGCAGCATAGCCCGAACTCACGGGTGACGGGTCCATGTCTGTCACGAATCCTCGAGCTTTGCTATGAACACCATCACTAGCGATTACACAATCTGCCGACATCCTCTGGCCATTGACTATCACCCCGGCGCTCTCGTGTGTCTCGAAGTATTCTGAGACTCGCGCACTGAACTTGACCTCAATTCCAAGCTCTTGCGTATGCTTATACAGAATATTTGCCAGGTCACACCGGTTCAGAAAGTACCCGTCACCTTTTCGAAAACCAGACATCTCATTCGTCACGATGAAAGCCCCCGTATGGTCGTGTATATCGACCGCTCGGACATGGCTCACCTGGGCTTCGAGCTGCCGGTGAACCTGTCCATTTGTTCCCCATTTTGAGACAACACGGGCTGCGTTCGTTCCAATTCCAATACAATCCCCTGTTTTCTGATTAGACGCTTTCTTTGCAGGATCGATATGTCTTTAGGACTGATCACCTTGAGCTCGTGGTGAGGAGGCCTTTTCAAGGATTGTGACCAAGTGACCTTTGCGATGGCATTCAATCGCTGCAGCTAATCCTCCAATCCCTAATCCAACAACAATAACGTTTATTCCACTAGAGCGAGGCTCAGCAATCGCGTCCGGACCGCGTACCGATGATAGCGTCATAATGAAGTTCAATACGATGTGAAATACTCGGGAGGAGTAGTATCATAGGGGAGATCGTCAAATAACTTGAAGGCGTAGCCAAGTATAACAACGCTAAAAATATGCAAGGGTTAAGGAATTTCATATATTTTGGCAAATACATGATTGGTTCCTAAGTAGCGACCTAATCATGCCGATCTGGTATTGGCGGGCCCAAGCGTCACGATTCACAGCGCAATTTACGCAGATATTAGTCCCATGAAATATGAGATGTCCAGGAAGTGAAGTTCATCACACCGCCACTTTTCCGGGGTCCCTTTGATATGGTAATGGCAATCTGTGGCAATATGAACAAACGCAGCAGATCGTATTATCCCCTAATGATGCGCATTTCAACTTGCATAGAATTATTGCCTTACTCAGCTTAACAGATAATGGATGGCTTTTGAAAGCAAGTCCAACATATTTTAAACCAGAACGATTGTCTGACTATTCTAAATTTATCCCTTCTAAATACGTGGGCAGAAGACAGTTTATTCCATCAAACTTAATGTATTCTTTTCTATTGCAGTCCCAAACTCGCAGAGGAAACTCAGAGGAAACTGATTTGGCGCCCTCTGTATCGTTTTCCCATTACCGATCTAAAGTTAGTTCCCCAGATCAGCAAGATTCATGCTTATGAGAGCAAGGATTGCTTTTATAGACACCGTAACGTGAACCCAGTTCATTTGAGACCGTCGAGATCAAAGGCAGCGTGACAGCATATAGAACTGAGCCCTAGATAGATGCCTGTAAAGCTCAGTAGTCCCTCCTTTTCCCGTCTATTCTCTCTCTTTCTCCCTTGCCATATACTGTGGTACAGTAATTCTATGCTTCGTCTTTTTGTTCTGCCTCAAAAAAACATACACTGGGCTTGTCATCCATGTGGACGTAAAAAACAGGATTCAGGGATAACTGTGGACCTCTAAGCTTGTCCTGGGGAAGAGGCCTTGTTCCGAATATCTTTCCATCCCATCCCAGGAACAAACAGAATACAGCATCCCCCAAGCGCAGCGGTCATGTAAAAGACTTGATTCATGCTTTCAGAATAAGCTTTTAAAACGCCAATCAGATCTTGACCTGATACGACGTTCCGAATGCCACCCGCGCCGCTGTCGATAATCGTTTTAGGATTCACATCAGGCGCGTATTTGGACACCAAAGTCTTGAGCCCACTTGAGAAAATTGAATCCGCAATTGTAAGCCACACCGCACCTGAAAGTGTTTGAGAAAACATGAGAACAGCCATTGCAACTGGTATTTGGCTAGGCGGGAGTGTATTTTGGACTGCGATGATAGGCTATTGTGCCAAATGGCCGATATTAGCTCGATTCAAAACATGTCTTGGGCACCGGGGAATTGGGTACCAATTGAAAGCCTGCACCTCTGCCAACCCCAACTAAGATCTGTTCTCCGACCCATTTCGCGGTGGGTGTGTCTGGCTTCCAGGTCGACATCAAACCATTGCCGATAGAGGTAACCACTGCACTGAAAATTCCCCATGGCCAATAGTATCCAAGTTTTTCAACTGAACAACAAGTCAGTATAGATTCATTGGTCAATGCAAGGTGAGAGGTAATATAGTAGGTCAAGACTCACTTGATACTCCGGACAAGATTGCAAACACCAATTGTGACAGGATACTAGGCAGCATATACACTCCGCTCATCAAGGGAGAGTTATCCCTGATAGCCTGGAAGTAAATTGGAAGATAATATGACTCAGAGATAGTCATGCCAAAGAGGCTCATTAACATTAGACAGCTTGACCAAACAATCCGCTTGGAGACCATCGACAGAGGAATCATAGCGCTATCTCCTTTGTGATGCTCCCAGAGTAGGAAAGTGATGAATGCACCGCCAGCGCCGCAGAAAAGCCCGACGACAGTCGCACTACTCCAGCTATATTTGCTTCCACCGTAATCAAGTGCAAGGAGAAGTTGAATGGAAGCTGCAGCAAATAGAGCAAAACCAACGAGATCAAGCATGTGGAAAATGGTCTGGGCTGCCGATTTGCGTGGTACCTTGGTAGCATGGTCGGGTATATGAATGAAGACCGTAAGTAAAACAGCAATAACACCAATAGGAAGATTAATATAAAAGCCTGTTGGGAGCATGGTATGTCAGTTTTCCTTTTCTAGGATGAGCGTCTGGGGCAATTACACCATCTCCAAGTTGTATACTCCGTCAATGCACCGCCAAGTAGGGGACCAATGACATGGCCGAGTTGAGAGACTATTACATCGGGGTTAGCTCATGATGAAACGACCCATAAAGCACTGACTGCCCATCATTGCCCCAATCAGTGCTGCATAGGGTATTAGCGACTTCATCAAATTCAATAAGGATCATATGCATACCCGGGGACTTTTGTAAAGGAACCGAAGCTGAAAGTATAGTTAAGGCCCCACTATTCAGTCCGGCTGACCCTAGGCCCGCTATTGCTCGCGCGATGATCAACATCTTGGAAGAAGTTGCTATTCCGCAGAGCAGTGATGCCAACGCAAAAATGGAAAGGAAGCTGAGATACGTCCACTAGATTATATGACTTCACTCAGAATGTTTCCGCTGGCCCAGAGAAGTATTACAGTTATAATTACCTTTAAGCTGAAATGGGTATATAATTTGCCTGTTAGAGGTTGAAGGCAGGCTCTGATCATCCGTCAGTTTCTTGGCAAGTCTGCAACAAAAATAGGTTCCGTTATACCCAGATATTTGATATGCACTACCATACCATCCCAGGTCTCGTAGAGAATGAAACTGCAAGGTAATTGATGGAATGGCCTGTACATTTTGTCAATAGAGGAACCTCAAAAAGCTTGAAAACAAATACTCACCGTGACAATAATCGTCAAATCAAGTAGAGTCAGGAAGTTAACGAGGGTTACTGCACTGACTAGCATGACAAGCTTGATGCCCGTGAGGTATCGGTTGCCTTCAATTTCCCTCGGCTCTGAATTGTTTTCTGGTATCTCAATTGGAGCAACGGGAACACCTGGTGATGGTGACATTGAACCTGGCTCTGGCAAAGGTATCTGGTGGGCACATGATTCAAATTTGTTCTGCTTCGTATTCTCCATTGTAGGTGGAATATGATAACAGTGGTGAGCAGAATGAGCGTAGAAGACGAAAAGGATAGTAAGGGCGAGCGAACGGCCCGTCGCAGAAAAACTGAAGACGATTAGCAATGTTGCGGAAATCCAGCCCCTTGAAGGGGCGCCTGTCAATCCTCTCTCTTGTAGCATGCATGTGTATGATAGTTGTATTATTGTGGAGTGCTGTGGGTCATGACCCAGTACCATAGATACAGGTCTAACCCTAATGCATGAGTAGTGCGTATCAGGGTGACAGGACAATACCATCAGTACAGGGGATCCAACACTGGGAACTAGTGTCACCCCTTGCTTTAGTCCATGTCCTATTCTATGCTTCTTGGCGTTTTTGATATGTTCAAACGTTTATAATCATTGGATGGTCCGTTTAGATAAGGTAGCATGTAGAAAGGTAGCTTGGCTCAATTATTTCAGTAAGAGCTTAAATACATCGTTTATACGACATCATTATTAACGTTGGTCTCTTGCCATGTCCCCCACATCATAGAAACTTTAATTGCTTTTTTTTTGATCCTGCAAAGCAATTTTGATCCCTGTTGGTCACGCCTTGACTAGTATGACTACGGCCTCCAACTCAGTTGAGATGATTTAATCTACAAGTTGCTCAACTATGATCACGCAATATACTGTACGCTCAACAGAACGACGGAGTGTAGAGCCATGTGATGAAGTCTCGCTCGAAAACACGAATGGCGGGCAAACATTATGGTACGGTAGGCTCTATTCCTTGTGTAGTCAGAGCTGTTTCTCCACATGAATATTGCGTGTCGCTCGAACGTACCTTATGATAAAACGCCTACATTCTGAGTGAGAGTTGCTTTCGCTCGAGGTCAACATGTCATTGGGAGCTTTCGCTCAGGAATATGTGATCCGCTCCTTCTACATGTAAGAGCCGTCACATCTTTGTGAATAATATCCCGTCAGTAACTACGATTCATAGTCCAACCAATCTCTCGAAGAAGTCCAGTCCGGCGATTAAAGCGACGGTCATTACTATTTGTGAACGTATTCCTGAGTCATGCGACACAGCATGCTCTGCTGCTGAAATAGTTTAAGTGCGATCGGAGTCCAACTAGCCATCTAGAACCAGAACTGGTAAAGATACTCTCCACGATCGCCGCTCAGGACCGGGTGGTATTCGTACAGGGATGCTGTAATCCACATCCGGCCCTAGGGCGTCTGCTGAAATTCGTCCTCAAGCAAATATGGCATAAGGGTTTATTACGGGTAGAAAATAAAGTATAGGCTGTACGGGACATTCAGAGTTCCTACAACCCGAGGGCTCTTGTGGTGCTGTTACAGATATCAAACCCACCGTCACGATGAATTGCTTAAACAGTAATATGCCGGATATCGTCCTGGACGCGGTGACAAATACATCATCGATGCTCAAAGGACAATGCGCTCGGGAGGTAGAGCAGTCTGTGATTTTGACAAGACCTGCTTGCGCCGCCAATTGCGATATGTTAGACGACGGTCTCAATGGACGAAGGAACTGGATAACTTGACTGACCTCCAGCTGCTCTGACATTCAAGGTGTATGGGCTTTGCACGTAGTGCTCGGGCTTGGATAGAAAAGCACAGGCTTAGGAATGAAATCGCCAAGCTTCTGTCTAACAGGGAAAAGCAAACAATCCTGATAGCATGCAGCTCCGTGTATGTCCGAGTGGTTCCCGCTCGCTCGAATATGTCGATAAGCTGAGCAACAAGGAGAGGAAGAGGAATCAGGGGGACTCTATCAGGCGTGGTTCTTGGGTCATGGGTCCTCTCAATCGTTTGGCCATCCTCGGTCTTGTCCATCGATTTGAAGCTGACTGGCTATTGTTAGTTGATTCGGGTAGAAATGACGGGACTTTTGCCTCACCTTCTCCATGCAAGCAGTCCCGACTAACAACCTCGCCAGTACGAAAATATGGCTCTAGCTAGACAAAGCATTGGCTTCTCCCGGTTTCTTAGGGGTTTCAGGCTCGAAAGACGCTAGATGCCATCTGAGGACAACGATGGTCACCCACTGGACGCCAGGGATCCAAGCCGCAAGTAGGCCATTCTATGAGAGGGTTCAAATGCCGGGAGACAGACACTGCTATGCGCTCCATTGGGTCTGCATCAGGTAGGCATACCAACGCATGATCTGATGAACCAAATCGACTGGGAGAAGGTCGAGGTAGCGACTCGTCGATGCCACCAGTAGTCATGTGGAAGAAACAAAGCATAGATGGTATTGGTGTAGGGGAGGTCGAGCAGATAAGAGATTTGCTCGCTTTGCATTCGGGTGATGGGAATCTGACGGCGTCTTCCTGTGGTGAGACCCGAGTCAGCAAGTATTGATTCAGTTGGACAAGGTGTTGTACTTTACGCCGTTCATGAAGAATTCGAGTGTATGCTTGAGACAGATAATCAACAAGATTCGTGATCATACCTGCTTACCAACTAGATCACTGCCAACTCAGTTCTGCGATGCAGTCACCAATATACCATGTTGTATCCAGGTTCGTCACACTCTCCGGCTGTCGCTTCGAGAAGTCGCGCTGGATGAACCGACAAGTTCACAACACGGCAAAGGCGCATGACGAACTCACGTGTGACAAAAATTTGTACAGTTGTATTAGGAGACAGCTTCGTGCAAACAGCGAGAGGTTGAGGCACTCCGCTGTTCATGGTGTGAAGGCGGTGAGGAAGGGGAAGACGCAATGGCGCGTCGGGCCCTGGGTCTTATCTGACTCGGCGGGAATAGGTTACTCGCCACAAGAATTGTCGCGGTTGGCGATGGGCTGGCTGCTCCTGCAATGGCATAGAGATGTCAGTGGTGTTTGTGTTTCCGGCACAGAGTTGGCACAAATCATCGGACCCGGCGCAGCAGGAGGCGTGATATTGCACTCACCTCGTCGTGCACAACGAACGTCTGGGGCTTATGCATCCTGCTGTTTGCCCGCGGCCTTAGTTTGCAGTATTTCACATAGGACATGTTGCATGGTTTGAAGTGATAGGGCCAGAAATGGCGTGTAAGCCATGACCCTGCGCGGAGCACTGACGGAGAGCTGGTTCGGACTCAGTCTGGTGCGCTGTCAACGGTTTCCTGTCCATCGTTAGCTTGTCGATCGGCGAAGCAATGCTTGACTCACATGTTCTGAAAGACGACACGGGAAAGGGCACCGTGGCTGGTGTATATTGGATGGAATGCATGGATCTTTGTTTCGCACCGTCTTTGAATTCAGTCTAGTCTCGGATAGGGTCGCGCGGAGACAGACTTACCTCGACCGCTCTTCTGCATCGGTATATTCAGGAGCGGACAGTGGTCGGCTGCTATGGTGGACAGATGTTCGCATAGGTACTTTGACTAGCTAACCCAAATCTGCTTCTTTGATCGGCTGGCATGAGTGACATAGTGGACCTGGTGGTCGTCGCGTCTCACAAGCACTTTCTAGCTTGTCGGTCCACGATGTAACTGTAGATGTCAATACAGTGAAATTCCAGTAGGTCAAAGGGAAGAACTTATCAGGAATCGAAGACCTGCTCGACTCTGCATAGCCAAGTGATGGTAATGGAGAACAAATTGCTGGGGGAAGAGGACGTATTTATAGGTTCTCGGCTCCTGTAGCACGCGGGCTCTACCAGAGAGCAAACATTGAACACGATGTCTATCCTAAGTGAGGCCTGTTGCAACCCATGCCTTCATTCTACCGCAACTATTAGCAGCGAAATTCGTGGTGCGATCTTAGATGCTCATCGGGAAAACATGCTAAAGTCATGTTGAAAATGAGTCAAAGAGAGTCAGTCGGTTAAGAAACGTTGGGTCACTGTTGAATCTACGGTCTTAATATTGAGGCGACGGAAGCTGTTCATTCTTTGATCTTACCAAGAGCGCTCACATTTTCATCTAAGGAAGATGGAAATTTTCTGGCCTCGCTCGAGTGTTGATTGTCTGAACTGTGTGTGGTTCTGTTCGTCTAGGCTGCGGAAAGCGTCAGGCCACGGTCGTGCGCGGGCGCGGGTACGTACTCGACCCGTCAACCCGTTGAAGCTTGGCCGTCCTTGTTGACGAGAGTCAACTTTTGAACTTGTGATCATGGTTGAGATGGATACCTTGTTTTTTCGATTTTATTTTTCAGTCCTCTAGGTTTTACTCTATTTACTTTTGGAATTTCTGAGCTCTCAAACGAATGTGGAAAATGCGTTGTGATTGAATATATATCTCCCGGTCCGTTCATCACCGGAAGCCACTAATATGAGGCACATTCACCAACCATCAACACCACGAGACTGATCACCAGCACCATCATTAAATGGACTGCTAACAGAGTGCTGAGATTGAAATGCTGACTACGCTGATTGACTTTCATGGTGAAAATGAGACTGAGTATCTAGCCGCCGATGTTTTCTAGTCTATAAAAGCCTCCAAGAATTAGTGGACATGCTATTGCCCAGATATTCGACTTTCCCCTGCGATCAAGATGGATGCCCTTAACAGCACGCCAGACCAGGAAAAAGAAGGAGAACAACAGCCCAGTGCATTGCCAATCGTTTCTGAAAAAGAGAATTCGCAGGAGGCTTCTGATAATGTCCCTCCACTGGTAAGTATGGCGGCTCAGCTTCCAATGCTCTTGCTGACCGTCGCAGCTCTCTCCCTCGCAACAGGAAGCAGAAACAAGACATACCTTGGCGACCGAGCCCTTTCAACCTATTTTGAAGGTGCTAGCAGACCTCGAACGCGACGATCCCAAGTTTGCCTTTCCAGCAGGTCGAATTGTCGGACTCTATCGACGCCTATGGGAGTCGTGCGTGTCCAAACACATCGATGGCCAGAAGCTAGAGCAGAGCAATCAGATCTTGAAGGAAGCTAGCAGACACCTGACTAAAGAGAGGGATGGACTTCAGCTGCGCCACGACAAGCAGCTGTCTCGGCTGCGCTTCTTTGAGCAGGCACTGGAATCATCTCGGGGTCGATTGACTAGGATCCTCGATGGCTG